ACGACGCTTCAAAATGAAACCCAGAAGGGTGTTATAGTTGGTTTGGTAGAATGAAAAACAAAAATTATTATTGTCTTCCTCATCACCAAACACCTGGGAAGCATGGAGAAAAGTCATTGTAAATAAGGACGTTACATTAGAAATACTCGCAACACAGATCTGACTCCTGAAATCTTTTTTCCTTTTTTTTTTTTGGCCTGAATCTCATTTTCTCTCCTCAAATGAGTCCTAATTGATTACAACTCATCCTTGCTCGTAGTATCTTCCCCCATTAGCTCTTCAAGGGAGAACTCGTCCTCTTCAATGATCTCTCCATCTTTACCATCCCACGGTTCGGTCTTCACGATCGTGGGAGTGCCTTCCAGCGGCAAGTTTCCTTTTCCTCCACGCCCAGCTTCCCTTACGAATTCTCTGGTATACCAGAGTACCAACATTAGAACTTTCTACTCATTGCTATGATGGCAATCGAGAAGAGGAAAGAAACTTACATAATATGTTCAAGCTCGAAGGCACTCTTGAGTGGGGCATAAACGCTTTTCTTCACGTTTAGGGCTACCAAAGCCGGATAGCCATACCCGCCAACTCCAACACGCTGTTCAAGATCTGGCTGCTTACCGGCAGCTGCCCATACGTAGCTGAAAGAAACAAACAAAAAAACTTTTAATTTCACCTATATAGTATCTTTTTAAGGGCCACGCTAACAATTTAGCCTTTTTGGTTAAGGTGCCTTAGTGTTTAGTGCTGTGATTCAATGTCATATCAACATACAAAGCTGCCTGGGACATAGGAAAAAAAAAAAAGAAGAAAGGCATCTGTGAAGACAAAGGGTTGGAATGTTTTCTTGCCTGTAGGGGCTCCTCTTGAACTTCTCCGCAACTGTCAATAACTGCTGAATGTGCTTGTTCCTCCCTTCTGCTTTAGAATCCAAAATGTCGGGCAGGAAAGCAACAAAGCAGATGGCAGCAGAACCACATTTTTCTTCCAACACATCCTACACAGAAATATTACACATATTTTTAGTCTTCTATATAATGATTCTATGCACAAAAAACAGTATGTATCAGGAAACTTACTGGGCCAGTTAGCTCGGTCACTTCTGGAGGTGCAACATTTGTTTCGAGCTGTTCGAGAGCAAAGGATTCAATCGCCGAAGCAGTTCTTCCACCTTCATAAGGTGTTGGGCTGTCTTTGTCAGCACCAAAGACCAAGATAGTGGGGAATCCTTGAACATTGAATCTGCTCATCAGAGACTGGTAACAACCCACCACATTAGAATCAAATAGTTTCTAAATTCATATGCCCACATGAAAGGGTAAAACTTAGAAGGGTGCATAAGAGAAACGTCAAATTTAGAAATCAAGAAGACTCCACTAAAACAAAAACTAGGATGATTAAGACGGATGAAGGACCTGACATAAGAACAAGTTACAAAGAGAGAGAACTAAAAACAAAACTAGGTGAATGAACAAACATTGCAGAACCGCATCCCAAATAATGCACAGAGATACTAATTCAATAACCATATTAACCTAAGAGTTGTAGGAGAATATCCCTAAGATTCTGATGACTGTACTTCATACATAAAAGCCACCTAAGCTAAAAGCTATCCAGACAAGCAACTCAACGATTATATGCAGATCAACCTTCCCCTTACTGCACCAAAGGAAAATAAGAGCAATAAGAACTAATATAGTCTGACTTGTATTCCATGTCGCTCCAAGCTTACCTTTTCTGCATCACAGTCCACATGACCTAACTTCACTTTCCCCTTCAAGTTATTAGCAACCTTCTTCCACTCAGGTGCCAACTTTTTGCAGTGTCCACACCTTTAAAGAGAGAATTCAATGCAGGTTAGGCTAACTGCTCACATAGCTGTAATTTCTTCTAAGGTTTAGACAGAAATAACGGTCATTAACCAACAGGGGTGGACGAAGGTGGGGCCCAAGGATCCCTGGATTTTTGAGAAATTTTTTTTACACCCTTGAAGTTTTATTTTTTTTATTTTTTCCCTTTAAATGCATATAGTTTTTCCAATTTTTTTGCCCCCCTCTTAATTAACCAAAGATTAAATATGTCTCTCTAAATCTAATTTCAGGTAGTGTTTATCATATCAAAGTGATCTCAAACAAGAAAACAATTATATTAATAACCCATTAATATAATTGTCCTCAAATGTATCCATATCCACAACCCTCTAAATTGTTATCTCATTGAAGTAATATTTATTTCAAATGTGTCCCTGCTTAAACATTCTTTTTACTGTGGCACTCTCAACTATTAGTTCTTCGTAAGTACTTTCTAATAATTTTGCCACTAAAATGTTTTATTACTCAAATATGTTCTACACGTGTCTATACATGTATAATATTAAACCAAAAACATATTATGATTGAAAACGTTAATTTCAGTCTATTCTGCTAGATTTTTTTCATAAACTAAAAAGTTATGACAATGATAACTTAAAAAAAAAAAAAAAAAAAAAAAGAGTAAGCTCTTCACAAAATTTTATAACTACGCAAGAAATTAAATGAACAAAATATGCGTGTGCGTAAAACACACTTCTAACTAGTTAATAGCATTAGGAATTAATATTTTGAGGGTTTTTAATATTTTTCATGTTCTTAGTTTCTGCCCCTCCTGAATTAAAATCTTGGCTCCGCCATTGTTAACCAACGTATACCCAATATGGATATACTCCCAAAAAAAAAAAAATCCACTTACCAAGGTGCAAAGAACTCCACAATCCAAAGGTCTTTACTCTTAATAACCAGCTCATCAAAATTGTGAGAATTTAATTCTACTGAGGCACTAGGTTCAGATTTTCCATTTGAACCACTGGTTGCTTTTCCATCTAAACGTTCCTTCAGAAGTGCCTTTATCTGTAGCAGACCAATAGACTAGTAAGCATACATGACAAATCATTGAGAATTTCCTTTCAGAATAAGTTAATAATTCAATCTAAATTGTGCAATTTGTTAGTGCAAGATAGTCAAGTTAAACAATAGGGATTTGTGTCAAATTTAACGCATGAATATAACACTTTGGACGCACTGTATTGAATCTTAGTCATCATCAGCCCCAAGAAATTTTGGTTAATCAACTTACCTAAGAAATATTCATTATTGTGCACATTATAGATAAAAGGAAATGAAAAGTTCAAGAGATTTTTAAAGGAATAACACCAACCTGTTTGAGTGCGAATTCTACGATGGGTTTGACATCTCTTGCTCCTTGATAGTCTACAGGTGGTTTTCCAGGGACAAATACCTTGATTGTTGGAAACCCTTGAATTCCGTATTCCTATATTCAGCAAGAAAGCAAAAACTTCTAAATTAGGAAGACTTCAAACTAAGTGATCTGTACACACTATTAGCCCATAAGAGACAAACTAATAGTTTTTTTTTACTTCTTTATCTACATGAAGTGATAATTCAAAGCAGAAAAAAAAAAAAAAAAAATCTCAAGAATAGAGATGATGACTCGGGAAAAAGGTAGAAGGAATTACCCGATAATTAATCATGTAAAATATATAAAAGGTACAAAAGCAATATTTTGATCTTAATCATATCCTTACCAGAGTAATTTCCCAAACAAATTGCCACAACAGTTTTTGGGAACACACAAACCAGGAGAAGAAAGGTAGGTAGTTTTTTCTCTTTCTTCTAAAAAGATAAGAAAAATAACACAGGAATCACAAAATCGAAGCATGTACTATTGAAACAGGTAGTTTTTTCTCTTTCTTCTAAAAAGATAAGAAAAGTAACACAGGAATCACAAAATCGAAGCATCTACTATTGAAACAAAACATAAGCTGAATCAAACGAACCTAAAAATGATGAAGTTTCTATCATGCTATTCATAGATACGAAACCAACCAGAAAAGATCATAAAAGTAGTCAACAGATTAATGTTTAGTTCATGGATTTACTGCGAAAAAATGGAAATTACGGGACTAGCTATAGGAAACCTGAGCGAGAGACTTGTGTTCATCGGCATCGAGAGCGGCCACAGTAGCCACTCCCTTCAAGACAGTAGCAGCCTTCTCCCACACAGGTGTTAATGCTTTACAGTGTCCACACCACGGGGCGAAGAACTCAACAAGAACTACTCTATTGGAATTCAAAACCTGCGAACATTCATATGATTTAGTCGCAATATTTGGTAACAAAATCACTTTCCCAAAAACAGATCATAAGCTAAATTATATATTACTTTACTGAGCCTTATATAAGTTTCACTACCTAATTAAATTCCTTTCCCAAAAACTTCACAAATTAAAAACCATAAGCTAGATTTAGTGTCCACACATTTGATTACCAAAGGTACAAAACTCCAATATGTTAAGTTAAACGTAAGCCCGCCAAAAAAAAAAAATTGAAATAAATGATTTTAGAATCAAATTATCAAAGATCAAGGATGACAATTGTTTCCACAAACCCAAAACAATAAATAAATAAATAAATAACAAATAACTAAAAGGTGATCACTACCCAGGTAAAATTTTCTCAAACGGAATAGGAATTTTCCAGAACTGATCCAAGAAAATTAAGAACTCGAAAATGGGTATGCTATAAATCTGGGTTCATATTCAAAATCATACCTTGGAGTTGAAGTTGGAAGGAGTTAGCTGAACCACTGGCGACGAAGGTCCATAGAGGGCGTGACAGACATTGAACACAAAGAAGAATGTCAAAAATACTGAAAAAACTCGGAAATATGATCGATCTCCTCTCATTCTCTCTCTCTCTCTCTCTAAGATTTGACGATTCTTAGTTCTTCAAATCAGAGCAGAAACCTCTCGAAACAGAGAAGACGAAGAAGAAGAAGAAGAAGAAGAAGAAGAACCCCCAAGTATTATGAGCTGCGAGCCGAGTTACGTGTGCTCGCCAATCATATTTTTACACGTCACCTACGATAGTTTCCCCATTCATTTCTTTTTTCCGGAAAAGCTACCTTTTTTTCTAAATGGAAATGGAAATTGGATATACAAGATTTTTCTAAATGAAAATTGGATATACTTTTTTTAAGCCTCATTCATTCAATTAATTTAAATTTAAAATTTAAATTTTATTATAATAAATTTTTTTTTAAATAATTATATTTAATTTTTTTATTATAATAAAAAAATTTTATATAAAATTATATTTTTAATTCAAATAAAAAATTTAAATCAGCGAATTAAATGGGCCTTTAATCTCTTCTTTTACTCTCTTATTTTCCCTTTCTTTTCAAGCGTAAGGAAGGGGTACAGAGTCAATGTCCTCTCGTTTTTGTTTTTTTTTTTTTTTAGAGCTCTCTTGTAGGACCACAAAAATATTAAACTACATATAATTCTCTATTTTTAACTCTTAAATTTGTATCAAATACTATTTATTTTACATGTTTTTTTAATTTAATATGAATTTAATTTGATGTAATAATCAGAAATTGACACTACCGGTAAGACCGCACTACTAAAAAAACTCTTTTTTCTTAAAAAAAAAATATAGAAAACAACTGCTGGGGTTGTTTTGTTAAAACATTACATTGATCCTATTTATGAGAATATTTATTATAGGACATACATTTTTACTTCGGGAACAATTATTTTTAACTATCAAATTAGTTTTTCATCAGTTAGATTTGTTCATGTCCTCAATAAAAATTTAAAGCGCGCGACACAAAATTATCCCTACTCTAATTAGATTGTTAAACTAATTTAACAGCTAAAACTTAATTCATATCGGTAAAGTAAAATAGCTTTATCCAGTCTCCACCATAAATGCATACTAAAAGGGATAAAATTATTTTAGTATCATGTATTATAGCGAAATATGCTCTTAGCACACTGTGTTTTCGATAATATTAAAATGGCATCTTAATGTTTTTAAAAACATCTGCATTAGAGATGATCTTAATCAAGAATTTAGAGTAGCTGTAATAGTTGTTTGCAAAACAACACACACATATGTAAGTAAGACTTTGTACTTAACTTTAGCATCTCTTAAAAAAAGAAGGAAATTTTTCTAAGAGGACGTGTCCATTTTAACTACCGATAGTTATTATTATTTTAATTATTAGATTATGTTTTTAACGGATTAATGTGTGATTGTAGCAGTTTTGAGTCACACATTACAAATTTTTAATACGTATACTTACAGATTATAACACTAAAATCTTAATCTAATGATTAAAGCAACTACCAATAGTTAAAAAAAAAAAAAACATGTTCAACCGTTAGGCTGATAGAACCTAACATTGATCAAACGATTTTAAATACTAAAAAATTCTTGTACTCAGAAAAAGCAGCAATGATGTAGCTTCCTTTCTTTTGTTTTCACTATTTTTCTTTTTCAAAGAAATAATAAATTTATAATTTCATTCAACCTAACATTACAATTGTTGGTCCGATGGAAATACTCAGATCGATGTACTAAAATATCAACTATGATAATAGAAAAATGATCAAACCAAAGATGATGCTCCCACCTCCAGTGTAGGTTTTTATGTATGATATGAAAACGAACTCATTGTCTCATCAATTTTCGTTATCTTAAAATCTTCAGTATCCAACTTTTAAAGGCTACAGATTAATTAAAAAATCATCCAAAATCACACAAAAACATTACAAAAAGATTTAAAAAAAACCACAAAAAGATGCAAATGGGAACAAATTATATATTGAAAACTTGTCTATATATATCTATGTATGTTAGATTATGTGTGTGTAATAACACAAAAAAGGAGTAATATTTTAGCTTCCTTTTCTTTTTCTTTTTAAATTTTCCAGTTTTTTGCCATTTGGAATTGCTTTTCCCTTCTATTTAGAGTTGGTAAATTACGAGTCATAATCTCATAGACAGAAAACTACTGGTAAATAAATTGTGTAAATAACAACCTTTGACATTTGCAAATGGCTAATCCTCAGCAAAGTTTTCTATTACCTAAGTATACTAGTCAAAAACTTTGATTCATTTAAAATAATAGTTTGAAAAAAAGTGAAAGAAAAAAAAGATTAGATATAGATATAGATGAGACTGGAGACAATATGTTGTTGATACCAGTAAATAAAAAGCAAAGAATTTGATAATAATATTAATAAAAAATATTAAAAAAAAAAAAAAAAAAAAAACCCCAAAAATTTACCAAGTTTTGCACTTCATGCTGATCCATTGCTTTTCCTTTCACGCCAAGGTTTATATTAGAGGCCAAAAAGCCTGAAATCTCTAACAAACCTGACCACAAAATCATCAAGCTAAGGCTGCAGAGAGGTTCCAAAGGCAAGAAAAAGACAAAAGGCAACGGAAATTTCTTATTCAGTTACAAGTAACAATCCAAAAAGCATGTTCATGAAATAAGCAAGCTCTGCCTATAAAGCTTCCACATAATCCTCGTGATGATAATAGAATCACCCAAAACTCTTTCCTTTATATAAAAACACAATCCCACCATCACAAGATTATGGGAAAAATGGCAGAAAAGAGTAGTAGACTGATGAATCTCATCAAACATGTGAAGAAGATTAAGAAACTTTTTAGGAAATCTGAAGGAAAAAATAGTGATCATGGGGAAAAATTAGTCCCACCTCACTCAACCATTTGTTGTGATGAGCTTTTCTTTGAATCCGATAAGAAGGCCAGTAAGTATGGCGAAAAGAGCTCCGATGATTCATTTATGGCCGCTTTTTTGGCGGCCCAGAAGCATTTTGCTCTCAGATCAAACATCTATATATGAGAGATACACAAAGGTAGAGCAAGATCATAATGTTTTTGTTGTATTGTATGCCCTGTTTTCTTGAACATTTTATACTGGAAGAGACAGCTTTTCTTTTAGCTCACTGCTCACTAGATCAGTTATTCTAGTATTGCCTTACCAGATGTTTGTAACTCAAATACTAATCCCACCATTGTCATCAATCTTCATCTTTGTAAGCTCCTGCTTCTCTCTTTCTGGGAATACATGAAACAGAAAGCTAGAAAAAAGTTGCCATTTTATCAATGTTGAGCCAGATGCAACTAGTCTTTAATAATCTATTTTGCTAATATTGGCATAGGAATCTCTCTAATATTTAAAATTGTGAAATGAAGAATTGAATTCTGTCAATCTTGCATTCTGGAGATATCCACAAGAAGAAACTTTATTCTGTCAATCTTCATCCGTAGTGTTTTGCGTCCAAAAGTCTCTCTTAAGAGGAAATATAAAATTTTATGGGAGAACCTCATGACAAAACAATACAGATAATTTAACATGTTTAGACTCACGACAGACGAATATATAATTATTCACTATTGTTAAATTATCACAATTAAATATGTCATATAAAAACAAACAATATACTTAAAATTGTATGGTATTTAATCATCAAACAGATTATATACAAAATGCCTAAAAAAATTTGTTTGAAAAATTGTAACAATTAGCCACCATTAAAAATATAATTAACTTTTAAAATATATAAACATGATTTTGTGGTGGTCCAAACTCAAAATAAATCATTTTAATGGGTAGGAGATGAAAAATAGAAGGTAACGGCGGAAACGGACTTCGGATAAGTTTGTACGGACCGGTCAAACTTTGGTCAAAACGTTTTTTTTTTTTTTTTTTTTTTTT